TTAATTCCGGCTTTTCTTGATAAGCCTGAACAGCTGTCTGATATTATCTATTGCTGCTGCATTTTGCGTCCCTTTTAGCTTCGTTTCCACCCACTAACTACGATCATCGCGTAGGCTTTTTGTCGATCAATTGTAGTATTCCTCACTCTCTGAATCTGCTGGGATGAGTCTACGAGCATTCATCAGTTTAGTAGATGTTTTGAAATCCACTGGTCTTTCTAAACCTTTTGATTTATGCTCCTGGAACTTATCACTGTTGCATTTACAACTGTTTGAATATCATTAAAATCTTATTTGGGAGAAATGTTTTCTTCGTGGTCGACTACGTGCTTAGCCAGTTCTTGGACTCATTCTCGACTTGACTGAACACATAGAAATGTCTACTTAATAATAAAGTATGGTCAAAATCTAGACGTTTGCTGCGAAACAAACAGAAATTTTCTGTCGGATTTTTCCAACGATGGATAATGAAGAGATGCCTTGTTTATCTACATCGTTGTTGGTCACTGAGTTAAACATCGTTCGTCTTTATGCTTCATCTTAGTGCTTACCCCGGCGACATCTATCAGACTGTTCTGTCCTCCATGACCGGTGACGAATGACCAACTTAACGAGGCGGGAGTCCGCAAGGAACTCCAACTCCTAAAGCGCTATAAATCACCAGGTCTAGATGACTTACCCGCAGCTCTTTCTTAAGGATACTAGAGAACTTCTAATTAGAGGACTGACTAGATTGTTTGGAAAGGTTTGTCCCGACATAGTGAAACCGAGCAGTCGTTTTCCCCATTTTAAAGAGGGATTACCCATTCTATGCAACAAATATCGGGTATAAGTTTTCCTCCTTTTGCTCCCAAATTATTTACTTCTATCGCACTTCTCAGACTGTTTAGAATCCGTGAAAAATTGACTGGCGAGGAGCAGTCCGGTTTTCATTCGGGTCGTGCATTCATTGAACATAGTTTAATTCTCTTACATACTTACTTCAGGCCAACAATCGTTTTTTGATGTCGCGGTCTCCGATATAATGGACAGGACCGTTTTCTAGGATCATCTTTTAGAAAGAAGTATGTCTGAGAAGTTTGAAAACACTTTCAAGGCCGTATACACAAACATCAGGCAGAGTGAGAGTATGCAACCACCTACCACTGTGCCATTCAAGCAGGGGTGTCAAACAATGTTTCCCTATTTCATTCTTCTTCAACCTTGGTACTGATGTAATTCTGGTAACAGTCGTAATCGAAGTAGGTGATGGTCGTGTGGGTTTTTTACCTGTAGGAAGAATCCGACGTTGAGTACGCGAATGGTCTTGTCTTACTCCGCGTTGATACTCAGGCAATCAGCATCTGTAGGTATCGTATGTTCTTTGCACTTAAGTGCAAAGTGCCTCTACCAGACTGGCAAGAGCTCGTGCTTGTTTGTACTCACTCGGTGATTAGCCGTTAGGGTTAGAAAGTTCGTGTATCTGAGTTGTTGTGGCGTGAGTGATGAGATCAATTTACGTATAACGAAAGCCAGAGGAGCTTATTACAATCCTGGCCATCTTTGGCAACATCGTGATGTTAGTCTCGTGGCAGATGGTTGGTCTACAACGAGTTAATGGGAGCAGTTTTGCTCTATGCTTGAAAACCCAATCTCCCCAAAGGACTGCTGACATCCAGGAGTGACGCCGTTAGTAATGCTGTGGTTTGGCAATGTATGTTCGGGCACAGTGACGGTAGCTAAATTGATGGCTTGTATGTATTTGACAAATGTTATCCTAGCAGATTCCCTATTGTTCATTATTTGCCTATCAAAAAAGTGGTGAGGCATTCAGCTTATGAACAAACGTGTCTCAGTAAAAACCTTATGAAGAAACAATTGGTATTGTATTTTAATAAAAAATAACAGCTAAAATGGTGCAAGACCAGTGACTAGTTATTTTAAACCATATGAGTCATGCGAGTTATCTGATATCTTGTAAATGAACAACAATAAAGCTTTTGTGTATTGATCGTGATAGAAATAGTTGACTATTGTCGCCTTTAGTATAAACCATGAGCTACTGCGCTGAGTAACTGATTTGCCCTTACAATAATATTCTCTGCTGTTTATTTGTCGAGCAGAATAATTATCTATCCCTCTGCTCGTCTCATAAATCTGCCTTTCCAGGCACAATTGGACATTTTATTGGAGTTGAAAGTGACATATGTTGGTGATCATGATTTTGACCAAGCCGTACAGGTACTTTTGCGCGAAAAAGCCCTTACATGTCAATCTACAATCTTTTACTCTAGTGGAGCATGATATTCCTTTATCACTACATAAGTAAATGGAGATTTCTTTGCAGATGTGCACTCCATTGGTCCAGGATAGAATATTGTAAAAGTCGATTACCTGATAAGCAGCTTTCCAAAATCTCCATATTCTATTACTCACATGATCAGGACCTTCAAGGCCTTTTATTTAGCAAAGGTTTCCGTAATTTATTAGTTGCTCAGTGTGTGTGTGTGTGTTGGTAGGAGGAATCACACACTTTTATTTTGTTGTAGCGATATTTGGGTACACACGAACTGTGGTCTCTGCGTGATTCAAATATTTTGCGTAAAATGTACTGTTAGTTGATTACCTCATTCAATTTAACACTAACTTGCACTAGTACAAAACAAATATAACAGGTTGGACATAATTTGTCAAAGTGCATCAGTGATTGTCAAAAATATATAAGCCAACTAAACCTATAGAATGCATAGCTTAGTTGCACCCTCAATTTTCGCTCATTTAATAACATTTCTTATTCATTCTACGAAAAAAGCAGGTCCGTGTGTCAATAGACAATCTTGGTTGTCAACTGCTTTAGTATTTTGTCACTGTACTACTTTTTAGTGTAAAAATTTCATCATCTGCTAACATCGCGTTTGTGACAAGATATAAAAATCTCAGGATGTTGACACTTAACAACCACACTTTTCTAACAAGTTCCCAGATGCTTTGTTAACCGCATTATAAGATCCCTAGCTTATATCAAGTAGAGATAATTGTTGTCCCATTGTTGGTGTTCGACGTCAATAAAGGGACCAATTCCTAACACCATTCTGTGCAACAAATAGGATGACATTTCGGAGTCAATAAATTTTAAATTTTCTGTTTAATACTCAGTTCACATTTAGCAACGAAACACTACTTCTATTCTTGGAACAGTCTGAATAAAGAAGTATTCTCCTGTTCTTTTTAGCACAACTTGCCCGTATTTGCTAAAAAATCGGAACTATCTAATCCCTCCAAAGAATTCCCTACCGAACTAACTGAAGAATTTTGGTGTGTTAACGATATGTACGCATTTGAAAATGTTGGATTTACAAACAGCGTAAGCACATTTCGTTACCTAACGTGTGCTGATTGCGATCTTGGGCCATTGGGTTTCCATGATACTCAGGAAGGTTCAACTAATGCATATTATATTGCGCTAACCCGTACCACTACTGAAGGTAAATCAAGCTGTAAAAAATAAGTACTTAATGAAGCACTATTCAAATGATGCTGTATCAATAGTATGGTTCACCTTTGAGAAAAATCCTACTTACTTAACGCTCACCAGTGTAAAACTGTCAGCAGACCAGTCCCAATACACTAAATTAATCGAGTTTTGTATTATTTGCCACTAAAAGGATTATATTTTTATTCCTGCAAGTAATCTTTTGTATTTTTAGTGACATTATTTTATAATTATCGTTTGATTTTCAAGTTTGTATTCCATATGATTTGCTCACGGACATGTGGCATAAAATTCTTGGCTAGTTTTCCTTAATATTAGATCAAACCATTAGGAGTAATCCATGATGGAGTTACTGATTATGCCATGCAGTTAATCAGTGGCTAATTGTCTCTACCATTCGGTCATCATTGGAAAGGTTTTGGACAACAGACGATCAAGACGAGACTATAATTTATGGACGGATCAATCAGACTTACGATAACAGGTCTTAAATCTTGGTGCAAAATTAATTTATTTATGTGGCTAAAGAGTTTCGGGATTATAGCTGATGTCAGTTCGTGATGAAAAGCTTCAATCTAATTCCTAACCCTAACTATCAACTGTAAATATTAATCGTAATTTCCCACACTGATTTGGCCGTAGTATGTACGTGGACATTCTCAAGGTCTTCTTAGCGTCGCCCGAAGTCGTCCATAAATTATAATCTCACCACCATCAGCGCTGCTCACCAAGTATTACTTTTAAATTTCTAAGCCAAAGCATCTAGTGATTCAGAACATAGTTAATTATTCTGGACAGAATCTCCTTTAGCGAGAATATGGAAAAGTAATATGATATATATTACTTTTCCAGTCAACTACTCAACAAAGCAGTTCGAAGGCACTTTGGTTGAACATTCATATATTTTTCGCATAATGTATTTTGACTTACTACTCATCTTAGCATGTGGAGAATCTGGATTTATTCAAATGCAACTTTGCATTTTTGTCAAGTACCATTTTTATTGATGGATGTGATGCCAAACCAGTGACAATGAAATTAACGTGCGCTTGTATTTTCAAGTCGTTCAAGTTTACTTTTTCAACATACTTGGCAGAAAGACTGTAAGGATTCGAAAGCGAATTAATAAGTACGAGATCTATAAAGAGAATAAAGGTTGGGTTAATTTCACATATCATATCCCTCTAAAAAGTGCTTTATTGAAATAATTTCACTGATAACTTCGAAGGTGGATGTATAGTATTTTAAGGATCTAAGGACTTTAGGAGTAGACATATACTCCCCAAGTATACCGTCTATCGCTAAACAATAACTCACAAATTCATTAAACAACTACTAAGCATTTTAACCACTGGACATGAAACTCAAAAAACACATTGGTATCGTATTCATTATATATATAGGCCACTATGTGAAATTTGTGGTAATCACTATGGAAAAAAAATTTGATATCACAGAACTTCAGTTACAAAACTTTGGGTAATAATTCAAAGCATAAGAAGTTAATTAACTAAACGGTTAAGAAATTCTACCAGTTTTTTGAACGGCGCCGTATATAGACAGCAAGTTCATGGAAAAGAAAACTTATAGGTATAACAGATGTCATTAACCAAAATAATCCTGTTACAAATACCCAGGCTCTGCTGAAATGATAAAAAGGAAAGAAAATGACTTAATATATATAAGCATGAGTTGCATTACAAAATTTACTCGACTTGCGTGCCCGCTAAAAAATTCAGTGTAATGAGTATTGTAGCTTAAAGATCACACCTTTTCCGCCCAAAAATCTTGTCCCTCAAATGATGTATAGTATATTAGCTGACAAACTAGTTCTTCCAATGCTTTAAAAATTCCTAATACGGATGATATATACGAGCTCACACATGTTCATAGAAAGTGAATCTTAGCTTAGTTTACGGCAGACAGTCGAAATTAAGTAGCAATTAAAACCTACCAATTCAAACAATTGTTTACACAGAAAACAATGTCAGTTAATCTTTTTACAACCTACCTATAAACATCATAAATGAAGGTGCAATCATGTGGAAGTAAAAACCAATCGAAGTATATTTTTGGTGTGCACACAGATGTGAGGGCTAAATTAGTAGAGTAGAAAGTGAGCGTAACACAAACAGTCAGTAAAACGATGGACCAAGCACGATTAGACTTGCTGACAAATATATTCATCCACGAAAAATACCAATCTCCTTCGAAATTTTGTTTCTTGAGATATATAAACGATAGGAACAAAAGGATTTCATTAAATAAATTTAATGCACAACTCTTCAGATAATTTTTTGCAGTGCACAATGTGTACGGGTTTCAAGAGTCAGTGTTAAACAGATTTGGATTGAACCGCGAAATGTGACAAATTGTATCACTTCTTTATTAACAACGGATTTCTTTTGATTTACTTTGGTCCAACTTGAAAGTAACTACGAGGACTGGTATCTGATTGTTGCATACATACTCCTCTACAAGATTTAGTTCTTAGGTTAACGTACGATGTGAATAACCCCAGTTTATGTTATGCAGTAGTGCCTCGTATTCGAGTTGATAGGCATGGAATACAAGTGAGGTGTAGATTTGCAAATACTTCTAATATGGTTGACGGATGAGTGAGTACATCAGATAACAAAACTGTATGTTATGAAGTGAAGGCCATTTAAACAATTCATCGATTTATATATCGAAGTGATGTTAAAGCGGCAGTCTTATTCACTTAACAATCAGTGATATCACAAATGATTACGTTTGAACATATGATTCAACATCCAAACTGGAGAAATGAATATCATTTGCAATAATCTGCGAAACTTAAGTGAAAAAATGCACGCCGTATGGGTTTTCACGATAGCGGATTTAGGGTGTGATAACCTAGTGGACAGCGCCGCCACTCAGAAATTCTAACCATGGAATTCAGCAACTAGTCAGATATCTGTCACGCGAAACAGCGTGTTTTCGTCATAATATCAAGTAATTGAGGTTTTTGACTACATTTTTTAACATAGCTTCTGTAGATTAAATTAGTGATCTCGTGAATCTTGAAAATTTTAATTCTTAGGTGACGACTAACCCCAATCAATTTGACCTGATCACTTTACTTGTCGGTGCAAAAACATGTGTATACTACACAGAATAAATCAATGGTAAATGGTTCCGCAATGTAATTAAAGTGAAATATTTGCTAAACGATTTGGTTTTCAACTTGGGTCATATAATTTTTTTAAGCGTTTGGTTACTTTTTATGTATACATATAGATGATATTATGTATGCGTTTCATATACGCTCATGTATAGAGACTCGTGTGTTGCACTGAAACTTTTAATATTTGCTAACCAGCTACTCGCAGAACATAAAATGGTGATTTTACAGTTTCTACTTTTAAAAAAGTTAACTGACGACCTTTGAACTATGCCAATGGGAAAAACCAAACGTCACTTACATTAGTATCACGGAATATACATACAGTGTGTTTCCATAACCCAAATACAGTGAGCTTACTTCCATTTTTCTCTGGTTTATTTCCAAGATATCGGGAATCTAATAACAAATATTTGACGTAACAGAAACATTCTTTTGTAACAAATAAGGGAATTTTTCGTATAAAAATTACAGAACAAAAATCAAATTTTAGAGCATATCAACCCATGAGAGATCTCACGTAATTATAGCCAACGTAATGATCTCACAATTTCGACGTCTGTACATAGATTGTCAAGGTGTAACTCCATTAAAACCCATCAGTGTATATAACATTTGAATTAACCCGAAATATTTGGGTTAACGTAGCTATTTATTTAAGTCAATTCGTTCTACAATGGAAGGAGAGCCTTCTCAATGATGACTGAGGTTTCTAGATTCCTTTAGTCTTTTACACTTACCAGGACTACGTTGTATTTCCTAAAACCTCTGAAGGCGATCACTTTAGGTAAGTAGCCTTTCGTCGTCAATTAATTCCGTATATTGGTCTCAATGTAAGCCACGCACGTGTACACGAAATTTAGATGGCTTGTATCAACAGATGATAATGTGTCTAAGTATTGTTTATCTCTATTCACACTGTTTAGTTCAGTCGTCAGCGACTTTCATTTAGTCAGCGTATAACTTCCGACCTATACTAATATTCTACTTAGTATGGACAAGTTTGAATAGCATGCCTTGGTTGACCACCGGATTGCATAGATACTCTGTTTACACATCGACTATAGCTAAAAATTAGAGGCGGTTTTAATGTCCAGATTTTAACCGAATGGTCACAGATTTGTACTCCATATTACCTGCTTCATTAGTGCCACTAAAACTCCTTGATGGTCACAAATATATGCCAAAGAGAACTTCCTACAGCTAAATCTACCTACCTAACAAATTACAAATAAAAGCAAACTAACTTGACAGGATTGTATGATTAAGACTGCGTGCATGTATATTTCGTATAATTTGTACAAGATGTACGCAAACCACAACGAGAATATTGTACATTATTATTTCTCTATAGAGTAGTTTATTCTCCAAATTTACAGGTATAAGCATTGTGAAATACCATAACAAAAGAGTAGTAACTGAACATTTGTAAATCACATTAGTATCACTTTGTGGAAAGAAAAAAAACAACATAAGTTTTTGATCAGTGAATTTAAATTAAAAATTTCAATATTTGGTTCACTGTTTTTCAAACTTACGAACAACTTGAGTTAAATTGATGGATTTCCAATAATCATAAGTCGTTTACGAATAAATATCACATTTGCTTACAATCCAGATGCTCTTATTCCATTTAGACACATGTTTCACGTAATGTGTTTTAAGTAGAATAAAATAAAACTGCCGGGAAACACTAGGAGTTGCCTCATTTATAGTTAAACTTTCCCACAAATTAGAATACGCAAATAAAAAAGTGTACCAAAACATGAATAGCTTGAATTAAAAAATCTAATATCAAGAGGTAATTTGATGATGTTATTAACTCAGTCATGTGGTACAACTGTATTGATTCAAGGGGAGGTGGCATAAAAAACTAGATATTGTAAAGAGGTTTGTTAATGATCTATCCAGTTGTCTAAAATTTGTAAGTGATGGTAGGATTTACTTTATTGGCATAAATACAACCGGTAGGAAGTGTCTAGTTCCTAGCAGCTTTTGTCTGGACATTATGCCTTTTTTCCAGCTTCCTGGCACTTATTGTCATGACAGGTAAGGATAAATCGAATATATTCGGGACATTTCAGTTGGTAACTTAACCTCACAAAGAAAGGGAATTGTTCTGAAGACAGTTAATGACAGTAAACACTACTTAGAACACAGTGGCAACATTCCAGCCAAACAATGAGACTAAATTAACAAATAAAATGCTTATCCGGCATAGGTTATCGATACAGAAGAAATAAAATAGTGAGTTCTAAACATGCCTTCTGTGATGTCGAAAAATCTTAACAACTCGTATCAACATGCAGATATTCAATTGGAATTATTTTATTAAATAAAAACCCTCAAAAAAACGTTCCAATTGATGGAGTTATTTGTAATAAAAAAAACACTGAATTCATTTAATCTTAACACAAATAGATACGATATGACTATTTGTGCCACTTTTGATACCATTACTACTTATTCCTCGCTGTGATAGATCAAGTATAATGCTATTGAATTTGTCTTCATATGTACAAAAGTACTGATTCGAAAGCGTAGTTGTTGAACCAACTTATGTCCAGTACTGAGACATTCAACTTGGAATCTGAATCCACTGACTATAAGTGAGTATGATGCACTAACAAACACAGTTATCAGACTTATCTGTATTTTGAAAATATCAACGTCTTTATGTTATTTGATCTTTTAGCTACACCGGATTATTTTCTTAACTTGGATGCAGTCTCAATAGGTGTAGGAGAAAGCGTGAAAACAAATATGATCACATATTACGACGCTTCTAGGTTATAACCATATGTTTTTACACAAGGATTAAGTTGATAACCATATTATTCGGCCACTTCTTTAGTAACATGTAAAGTAATACATGAAGCCATCCTTCTTGGATCAAGTTAGCGATTACAGTGAGATTATATCGGATTTTTAAATACAATGCGAATTTATAACCAGATATTTTAAATGTTTGCTACCGAAGTCTAGTTCCCACTTAGTGAGAAAGATTTCAAGAAAAATGCGACGTTTCTTTAATTCGAATTGTTTGCAGGATCGGAAGGAACCTCACATTAGGAGAGACAGGTGATAATGTAGATCGTAAGATAGCAAAAGATAAGGTATTTAGGGATCTTCTGATTTTGAAACAGTTAAACGATACAGGTGAAAGTGAATCATTCTTTAAAAGAGTACTGGTCAACTTGGGACTATTTAATCCAAACAACCTAACAATATAAAGACTTAGCGGATAAATCACGGATAATCAGCGGGCTACATATTGTTACTGATGAAATTGTCTTTAAAATTTGAAATATTGTAAATTTAGAACAACATATATAAGCGAACAATATTGTTTTCGATTAGATCCTCATCAGGCTTTACTCTAATATACAGTAATATTTATATGCATATAAATATTACTGTATATTAGAGTAAAGCTTGATGAGGATCTAATCGAAAACAATATTGTTCGCTTACATATGTTGTTTGAAATTGTCTTTGTAAGTCATCGCATGCAATTCAAGGAATATTTTTTGACTTTATGTGATGTATTATCCATAACATTAAAAATACAAAAATGTTTTACCTACGAATACGTAAACAGTGATAATTTGAAATACAGTGTTGGCACAACAATTCGACATTTTAAGGTGCAACTTGGTTACACATTCCTATTTGTCATTCAATTCTAAAATATGTATGCAACTACAAATTTTGTTAAGAAACGGTTGTTTGTTCTGACGGTCTCATTGAGCTTCAATCAATACTATTTTTCATAAGTTGGTTATTATCGCTAAATGTGTCATATATTTGATTGTAACAAGGAGAAAAAGGAATATGTTCCGCTTCCAGAATATTTCTCCGGTTTTGAAAACACGCAAAGAAACAAATTATTAACCAGGAAGATTATTGTAAAATTTAAATTTCGTTTGACAAGTTTAATTTTGTATGGTTGTGACTGGACGTTTTATTACCACATCTAGATAAATTTGTAGTTAGGATATTATTACGATGCCCAAAGATTAGGCCCAACATAACATTTTGTGAACTCAAAACATTAGGATTTGTGGCGCGTGGTGATAAAGATATGCGAGAATGGTTAGTCATGGGGACACTGGAAGTATTAGTATTTGAGCGAAGGGCTTTATCATGAATTAAATGATTTTGGGATGCCGTTAAGGTTATGAGGACGGTTGTCACTTCCTGGCTGCTCACACAATGTAAGGATATTTCTTATTGACGGATCTGAAAAGAATCCGGGTCAGTGGTGATCTTGGAGACCCGTCAACGTAACCACAGAGTCCAAGGGACAACTGCCTGAGGCCAGTCGCGCACGAGACGTATTTGATAAGTTAGCTCCACATTTTAAAATGCCTAACCGTTGGAGATGGAAATCTGTGGGGTATGGTGAGGAGTAACATTTTTAAGGTCGATCATTTTTAACCCTACCCTTCTGCTGTAAACGGGAAGCACAACTGAAAACACTAGTTGTCTAAGAGAGACTGCTGTCATACCGCTCTACAGTCAGAGGTATGACTTCGCCTCAGACCTTAAGTTGCTGCTTTTATTCTTACCGTTGCCCAACCGACCTGACTGCATAGTAGGACCTAAGAGAACATGTGTCCCAGCCAATATGACTTGGTTGAGCCATCACGATAGGGAAGACGACCACCACATCAAAGTAACAGCTACGGTCGGTATCCTTATCTGTCCAATTTGCTGGACTGGTAGTAACTATTACGCCCTTTTTCTAGAAAATCTCAATAAAATCTAACTCTTCAATATTTTTATCTTGATATGTAGGTAGAGTTATCTAATATTACTTATCATTGCTTTCTAAAGATAAACTATTTAGAGGGATATATACGGTAGTTTATTATTTCTACTTTGCAATTATGAGTATTTAAATGTCGATTCTTCGAATTTACACCTATCGTTCAAAGTTTACAATCACTACTTAATGTAGATTGTTCATTCACGATAACCACGCTTCTGGGTTAGGACTAAAGAGGAATAGTGGACTATATTTGCTGCTACCTTGACTTGGTGGTCGGACTTGCCTATCGTGATGAAGCAATCGAAATATACTGGCTGCAATAATCGTTCCTCGAGGTCCTACCATGCCAGACAGGTCGGTTGAAGAGCGGTAAAAACAACACACCCAAGGTCCGAAGGCGAAGTTGTACTCTTACTGTACAGAGGTGTGACAGCAGTAAAGTGTTTCCTTCAGACAACCAGCATGACAGCGACGCTGCCTTCCCACAAAGGAAGGGTGGGGTTAGAAAAGGCCAACCTAAAAAATGCACGCTTCGCCTAATCCTGTAGATTCCCTTCTCCATCGGTAAGTTCTCAACAAGTACGCAGCTAACGCAAAACCTGCCCACAAAAACGTCGTCCGTGACCGATCTCAGGCAGTTGTCCTTTGCGCACTGCGGTCACGCTCTCAGGTCACTAAGACCACCTCTAATCCAATTCCCCTTTCAGGTACCTCCAAAAAGAAACTGTCCACGGTGTGGACAACCGGGAGTTGATAACCGCCCTTAAGACCACTGTATTCATTACCAACCTCTCCAGTTCCTATAATTCCTCATACATCGACCTTCAACACTAAACTTCCTATTTTGGCTTCCTCCTCAAGTGTCAGCATGGCCAACGATCCTAGTGCGCAAAACTGTTCCAGGTCTACTGAAACCTCTGTCCAAACTACACGCTGGAGCCTTTAACGTACGCACCTCATGTCAAGTCGGCCACCAGGCCTCCTTGACTAAGACCCTAGAACCTCGTACTATTGATGTATGCTATGTCTCTGGAACACGCATACAGGATCCTAGTGTAGCCATTCACTTGACCTCACCTAGGCAAAACGAAGAGCCGACGAGATACGCCCTCAGTGTATCTGGCGACCCGATGGTTAGTTCTCGCGGACTGACGGTTGTAGGCATAGCACTAAGTACGAGGGCGGAACAAGCACTATTAAGGTGGATTCCCGTCAACAGTTGCCTATGTGCTGTTCGGCTAAACGGTTGCGTAGGAATTCAGAAGAATAGGGACACACGTCGTTTCTGCCTACGCTCCCACTGACTGCAGCCTGAATGAAGTGGAAGATGGCTTTTACAGAAAGCTTTCTGAACTTCTTCATAAAGCCAAACACTCAGACATAGTACTCGTAGCAGGTGAATTCAATGCCCAGGTATGTAGGTAGCTTAAACCAAACAGAAAGGCATTTAGGTGGGTATTTTAGTATTCCGGTACAACGAACAGATCATGGTGATCGTCTGTTGCAACTGTGCTCAGACAATCGTTTATTTTTAGCAAGCACTAATATAAAGCATAAGGAGAGATAGTTTAACATGGCGACCCCCTGCATCAAACAAACGATGGACTCGAATAGGCCATATTGCCATCAGTTATCGCAAGAGAGGCTCGATAGAAGACTACCGCTCGTTCTGG